ATGTTTAGGAATCTAGCTACAAACCTTATCCATCTCCAATTGACCCAGAAAGTGAGTCTTTTCTATCGCTCAACAGTGTCATTTTTGTTCTTCTGAGATTTTTCACCGGAGTGTCACATATCCGCATCTCATCACTTTAGATGTTTGTCTCCCAGCATCAACATTCAAAGTACACATGTATGCTACCGGTAAGTCAGGAAAAAGCACCTAGATCTATGTTAACAAGGGAATAGAAGATGTTTGTAAAACGAATCTGGCGGGACAAACAACCATACGAGCAATTATCCTCGGCACAGGAATGTCCAGAGTGTGATGTATTTCAAGAATCTACGTCTGACTCCACATCCGAATTGTATGGTCAACCCAAGAGTGATGCGCGAGATTGGCTTGGTAACCAGAAACCGAGGCGTTGGAAGCGAGTGCTTCACTTAGGATATATGACTGCCGTTGCCATCCTCGCGTCGTGGGGCGCAATTGATGTTTCCCTCCGTGGTTTCCATCTTGCCTTCCCGCCAAAGATCCATGATCGAGATTTTCTCACAAATTATTGTGTCAGAACATGTGGTGGAACGCAAGCGGAAGCTCTTTCAAGGGGCTGTCTTTATGATCATATCGAGAATCGTTTTACTCGACCGGATTGCGTAAATCCACTACTGAATGACGAATTTTCACAGCTTGGGCCCGGGAAGAACGGATCGTGGATTTATCAGGTCGATGTGGAAGGCAATGGGACTTTTACGTCTATGGAAGCTGCAGAAATGCTCGAAAACATTCGACCAGGGTTAAGAGTGTGGCAAACTGGAAGACAACACACGCTTCACTGCCTCTTTGTGTGGCGGCGGAATGCATTAAGTCATTTTGATGGCACGATTATCACAATGGATCGAAAGGAACTTTTTGAGCATGATGCACATTGCGCTCGGATGATCACGAACAGGTTAGCTGGAGATGACTTAGAGAAGTATGTCACGGTCACAACGTATGGGCCTCTAGACCAAGAGGCCAAGGACAGGGCAGAAAAATTCTTCGCGGAACAGGCTGAACGTCTACGCACAGGCAATGGGGTTGTAGCTCCAATCTTTCATGGAGACGGTCTTCGCAGACTAATGTGATAGTAGTTGCCATCAAAAAGGTAGGCAAGTAACAACGACATAGGCTCGAGCTCTACTCGCCAAGGATGCCCACTGTGTACATCGTGTACTAACTAGTACTACTAGAGGTGGTCGTAGCTTGCAAAAGTTTGCTCGACATAATACTACCAAACACGTCGCAACAATAGAATCTACTTGTCTAGTCAACGTGTTCGGGCCCAATAGCTGCTGTAGCAGAATACCAATAAAATTTCCCGTACTTCGCATTAGGCCCATCACCTCAATGATGATAGTGTTATTTTTGTCGTTGACAAAACATATTGCATGCAGTCTTCTGTAGTATACTGGGTAAAGCATGCTAAGTCCTGTGACAACGTGGTGGATCATAGAGTTGCAGCGAGATGGTGGCTAGTGAGTTTGGTACATAGATCGATAAGTTAACGGACGTTATGCACCACCCACATAGCTGGCGCACGGTCTGTTGGTATGGTATCCTCACGATACCCAAACTGCTATCTCAACATATTCATTCCAACTTCATTGAATCCTTAGTGTTGTAGTTGGTGTCGTCAGCATTTAATGTATTGCCGGCGTGTAACATGACGCTGCCTCGTGAAACCGCCCGTTATATCACGCTTAGTGTATTTACGGTCGAAGTTCGTTACTATTAGGAGGATACACTTTTTTTTATTGAAAATAATCATAGCCTGACGAAGTCGTTTCGTAGTAATCTCCATCTAAAGAAGAGCGAGGTCCTTGTCCTGGTGCTGCTGCACCATCTGCCGCGCCTCTTCGGTGTATATCACGTCACCTTTGCTCCCTACAGCCCAATTTTTATGACGTCTTCGCTCCTCATTAGCAAGGATAGCAGCTTCATTTTGATGCAGCTCACGCTTGAAGCCCTCGGCATTGCGGGTAAGGGCGGGGAAAGTGTTGATCAATCACAGCGCGGACAAATAGCTCTTGTAGCTCGATCCGTTGTGCTCATTTTCGTGTATGCCAGGTATCGTCGCCAGATGTAAAATCCTCATGTTCTGGTGTTGTACCTTGCGGTTGAGGCCGCCGCACAAGCTGTGCCATCTCCAGGCCGATCTTACCGCGGTGGAAGCGTTGCACAGGCGTTGCACAGGCGTTCAAGATGGCGATGAGACGAGCGGTAGCGGTGAGAATAGATTGAGAGGTGTACCAGTGCGTTATATAAGCGGTAGTGTTGGTATAGCTGAGTGATCACTATTGCTTGCGTAGCAACCTTCTTAGGTACGGAGTTGCGCTAACACGATACTAAGTTTGTACGGCACTATACCTATATGTCGCCAACCCGAGCAAATGATAGATTTTATAAACGTTGGGCGCCAGAACTCTTCTATCATAGGTAGTCTCTTTGGCATCTCTTTGATCCACCTCTGTACGTTGTCTTGAGTAATATTTCTCCACTCAGTTTGTAGAGCACTTTTGAGTTCGTTTATAGTGTTGAGCTGGTGGATATATCGTTTTACCCGTTCCTTAATTATCTCCCAAAGGCTCTCAATAGGGTTAAAATCTGGTGAGTTTGCTGCGTGACGCAGTGTCTTGATACCAAGATTTTCTCCATACTGGGACGGCACTGAGTCAGGATTTTTGGTGCCATGACTTGGGTCGTTATCCTCCATAAGACACCAGTCAGACCAATGATCTGGGTGGAGGCAGACGCGCAGTGTATCCCTCCGAGATAGAGTTGCCCGGACGAGAAATAATTGGATCACGGGCCTTCTGGGCCTCCCAGTCAGCAATCCGAGCTTGATATTTATCCTCAGTCTTAGTTGTCGGATAACGACGTGGCTTTGGTGGTAGTTTTTTAATAACGATATCATCCATCTCGTCATTGTAGAAGACTAGATCCGGTTGTCTATCATAGTAATTCACCCACGCAGCAAAGTGGACGTCGGTAGCTGTTCTTGATGGAGTTGAGATAATATTCTTTGGCTTGAGTCTCTCACCCCTAACTTTCAAAATTCTCTGCGGAGGCAGCTCGCTCATCGACATGTGAGCTTCTTCAGTAAATATTACCCCGTCCCAGAAGCCAAGGACAGGCTTAAGTCGATATTTCTCCCAGTAATCAAGACGCTGGGAGACCTGGCTGGGAGTGATTCTCTTGGCCTTAGAAGCTCGATAGACTTTGGCATTCACCGCCCAAAGACGACGCTGGACAGTCCGCTCAGACGCTGATATACCTACTCGTGATATCTGATCTGCGAGCTTAGAAGATCGAACCTTTGGTGGAGCTCTAAGCATGGCTTGTAACTGATCGTCTGACACGACTGTTGGGCGTCCGGAGCCAGTACTTCTAGTGATATCTTGCTTATAGGCTCGAAATCCTGATCGAGAGTCAGTGATATCCCCAAATCGATCGCTATCACGGAGGAGTCGTTCGCCAGTACTACGATTGATATTGAACTGTGAATAGATTTAGAGCTTAGTTTCTTGGCCGCGACGATCTATAGCTTCAAAGAACCGTGCACGCTGCGGTGTATTAAGATGAGACTTTGCAGAGCGATAGCTGTATATTCAGTGCTGTGAGCTTATGAATATAACAAAGACTCAACTTGCATTACGATCGCCTATTCGGTAAACTGAGAAGACGCAGAGAAGACGTACGACGTAGGGCCACTATGCTATCAGAAATTAATACGAAAAAGAGTGAAGGCTAGATAGATACTAGCAGCTAATGGTCAATTAATCTGGTACCGTGCTCAACTTTTCTCGTGTCTTCACCATGAAATCATCTTTCGCCCACTTCAAAATCCGGGTGAGACAGGACACCAGCTCCCACACATGAGGTGCGTGTGTCGTGCGCCACGTCCTAATATTGTGCATATGAGTCGCTTCTCCAAGTTTGAAATGCACCCACAGCTCATGTACTAGACCCTCGGTCGTGACAGAGAAACAGAGCCAGGGTTCTGCTAGAGACGCGGATTCTGTGGGCAGCGCGGCCTAGTTCTCAAGGTCATTTAGTATTTTTAGCATACAAGTGGCACTAATAGCAGCTTAATTCTGCGCAGCCACTAGACCCCCATTTAGGCTCAAACCCTTCGTCTCTGCAATAAGAAAGGGGAAACGCAAGCCCATGGCAGCCGTATGCGGATTGCTTAGTATCGATCCAAAGCTTTAGTGTTTGGCCAATCGAACTCAATGCGATAGCGCGAAATCCCTATCTTCAAGTCCTACTACGATGTCTGGCTTTAGTGTTGAGATGTAGAACGGGTCAGCAGCTTCGCTGCTAGTCGTATAGGCGATGGAAGGTGTGTACGGTTGTAGTGAAGGCACTAGCCCTAGAAATCCTGAAGCTGATTGTGAATCGAAGTCTAGGAGCACAGATGGCGGCTGTGGAAAGCGCGGTATTAATACGCCGATTTCATCGTCGGGTTGGGCCACGCCAGGCGGCGAGGGTTTGAGGTCGGCGTTCCAGACTGGAGGGAACATTAGCGTCTCGGAACAATACCTTAAACACAGTCTGCGAACTCACGCTTCTCTGATGTATGACATTGGAAGTTGTCTCGTGCTAAGTCGCCTATAAGACTGAATAAACTGGCTTTCCAGTCCCCTTTAAGCGAACAACTTCTTGCGTTATAACGCGACTGATCTAAGAACCTCTTCACATAGGTCGCCTGCTGCGAATCGTCTTCCGTCGTGCCAATTATATCCTCTAAAGACTCCGCTTCTAGTATATACCGCACTTTGCGTTCGACATCGTGCGGAAGTTCAATCAGGTCGTCAATAAAGACTCTAGCGTAAGACATGTTCTGGTTACGGTATGTTTATGGTGACGTTCGCTTGCTAGGGCTGGGCGTTCGAGATGCACGTGCAGAACGCTTAGAAGAGCGTCTCCCGTGGCTGGACGAAATAGATCCGCTTCGTGGTGTTGGTGGTGCCATCGTGTCAGCCTCGCAGCTAATGAGCCAGTGTGCTATCGACGCTGTTTTCTCACCTAGCTCATCTAACACAGGCTGATATGTATTCTTGGGCGCGTTTTTAGTGCGTGCGAATAATTCCGAGGATGCATATGGTGACCATGACGCTGGGTTTGATAAGTTCGACGGATTCGAATGGGGCAGAGATGTGCGGCGCGTCTCGGAGTTGACAGGTCGTAGTTTGCGACGCTTCGAAATGTGGTTGGGGCATCGTGATTGCTGCACAGTGTCTACATCTGAGATTGAGTGTTTCATACTTACAAGTTGTAAAGAACTATAGACTTATTAGGTTGTACGAGCTCGCGGTTAAGGGTAACAGCTCTTGTTGATGTTTTGAAGATCATAACAACCGGGAAAATCTCGGGCATTAGAGGTCGGTGCGGGGGCGGTGTAACTGGACATATCGGGGCCATGGAAAGCTTGGTTCTCGTCAGCCCCACGAGTACTCATAACCTATGGTATGGCTGCGCTACAAACCATTTGCGACTACACCACGATGTCAAGGCTTCTTAGTACGTCTTAGGTGCGAGACACTGACCCCAGTGTATGTTCCGCTTACCCTACACCAAAAGCGCCGCTTGAATATCTGTGCTAAGGGGCATTCGCGTGTCTCTTCGGGTAGCGCTGCGCAGGTAACGAAGCCAAGCCACCAAAATAGCCAGACTATCCTAAATAGGGTGTTTAGCCTTCTTAGCGCCAAGCCAAGCCAAGCGCGCTTATATATTCCAAATTGACCTGCAACCTCCTGGTCTTGCTCCATGTTCCTTCGTCTCTAATTACAACAACATCAATGATCGAACCATACATGATCAATGTGGGCGGCCACTTATTCACTACACTCAAGTCTATACTTGAACGGTCACCATTCTTGAACGCAATGCTCTCGAATCAGTGGGCTGGGAGTACTTGTTACGTTAACGGATGCCTTTCGTCGATTGAAGTCCCCTTCTATTCGAACATATCCAAGACTTCTTACGAAGCTCCGTACCTCCCATTCTCTGGACTCGGACGAATGGCTTTGATCTGCCGCTATATGCGAGCTTAATCCATGAAGCCAAGTATTTCAACTCGAAGTGCTCACTACTTGGATTCGAAACGAAGAGTCTATCAAAACCATTTTGATCACCTCATCTATAGATGTAATACCACTGAGTGAATGTGGTGATGGAAAGTCGCATCTGGGCAACACCGAACAAGAGTTCGAACCTGGGGCAGTATCGACTGCATTCAGATCCGGCAAATCTACCACTTACTGCAAACGACTCTTCCTGCGGAAGAGTAGGTTGCGACCTCCGGTTAGTACTCAGATACTTACTTTTATGTATATCCTGACTGATGCAGACGGTCATAGGAAATCCTCTAGCTTGATCAATGCCCGTAAGGCACTCCACAGCGTTTGTAGAATGACAGGAACCAGTTCTTTCCTGGACGTCTATTTGGTCTGTTCACTGGGCAGGTAGACTAAGCGCTATCGAAGGTAGTGGAGGATGTTCGTAACAAACTATTTTTTGAGTGCATGCAGAGTCGTGAGTGACTCCAGACCAAAACTAACTTTGGAGTCTTTGGATGCAGCGAGCTAAAAACCTCGAATGCGAACCTTGTCCACAAAAGTGTTAGCGGTTGCAAGCACGATTGTGTATAACTAGTCTGCTAGAAGGCGATGTAGAGTACATACTGTACACAATAGGTGTTTGATCTCAAATGATCAAGGGGTGACCTGCAATCGAGTAGGCAAAAGATAGCTAACATGCAATTGCTGGAGTGAACCAAGTCAATGAAGCGCCTAACCACGCTAAAAAGGAACCCTAACTTAAGCTATAAAGTCTCTCCCTGTATCACGCAAAACCCTGTACGCCGGAAACAGCCAATAATACGCAGCACCGTGACGGGCAAGGCACTATCCTCGCCTTCTCATTGGTTATTTCCGGCACACAGGGTTTTGTGTGATACTAGGAGCGACTCTACTTGCGCCCAGATTGCGTCCTGCTACACCTCAACACCGAGACTTACCAGTACATCTTGAGTGCGAGACACTGATCCTGCTGTCCGCTCCACTTACCCTAACCACTAGTGCGAATAAGGATCTATGTGTTGCACAGCTCACAAAACCTAGATAGCTGTATCATCAGCCCTATACCTTCATTTTCTACTACATTAGTTTATTGATGCATCTCTAGATTTATTAATCCTTGTTGTCTTACTTATTACTTTAAAATTCTTACTTTAGTCTTATCCTACTCTCTTTTCTCAACCTGATCATATAGAACGTTCATCTAGCGGAAAGAGTGGTTATTAGGAGTACTTCTTTGGAATATAATGGAACTCACTGCTGTCCAACTTGCACGGAGAAGAGAACGAAACCGAAAGAGTCAGCGGGAATCGCGCTAGAGAGTGAAAGACAAGATACATGCTCTCGAACGAGAGGTTTGGAACCGACTGTTTAATATCAGACTATCTCATTAATAGCTTTAGAATAGAGAGCTTAAGCTCGACAACACGTCGCTACAAGAGCGGCTGCTACACGCGTTAGGGGCCATAGAAGTAATCGGGAAGGGTGCGATCCTATAACATAACTTTGTTTCAAGTAGAGAATATATAACTAGCTAACCTATTCTATAGTTCCATTTATAACCAAGGCAGAATTAGCGGCCCTAACACATACTAAGTTTCATACACCGTCTATTTCAAGTAATTCCTTAGGACCTTGTCACAAACCGTCAATCTATCCTCAATCGTTAATTTCAAATACCGTGCAGGTATCGGCAACATCAAATCTATACTTCAACTCGTCAAGTATATGTGGCTTGCCACATTCAAGTAATCCGCACGGCTCACATGATACAAGTGACTGTCCATATATAAATAGCTTATGTGAAAGTAAAGCCAAGTCTGAAAGCAGTTGGGAGTGTAGCTCTCTGCATTTATCACCAGACGTTACTGAAACAGCAAGTATTTTGTTTGGGGATTCAGAAACATAAGAGATAAAATAGACCAGAAAATCAAATTTATGAAAATTGATAATTACAGAATATAAGTATCTAGTCACAAGTCTTTCCAATCTACATAAACAATATCGAGATATGAATTTGTGTCCAACGATATTATGGCTGTGCAACTAACCATAGCGGTCTGAGCAATACATACTTATTAACTAGTGTTAGTTGGAGCCAACGCTTTTGTCTAGATGCCTGCACATTCTCCAAAGCTACAAATTTAATCAATCAAGGTCGTAATGCGCATATCTCCTAATTTAACGAGCTTCTACGTGCTCTTTTCCTCGGGCGATGGGTATCGTCATTAGGGCTGGAGGTACCAGTACTATCTACCCATCTAACGAGTTTGCCGCTCGTGTGCAGGGTCTCATGAATTTTTTGTTTAAACGCTTCTTGGAGACGAGAGACCAATTTCTCTGCCTTATCTTGCAAATGTTTTATCTCATCGTTTACGTCTTTCAACTCGTCCAAAAGATCTGCTATTCTAGTACCACTCTCCTCAGGTTTGTAACTTATATGATTTCTAAGTACTGTTTGATCCGTAGGGAAAATAACCTTACTATCATTAGTGTAGGAGACTCCTTCTTTTGTCTCGCGCGAGGTGCATTCGCTAGGCTGTTCCTCGTTTTTTTTCCATCTCCTGACTGCTGGCTTGCTTGTGCTGGTTTTGCTGGTTCTGAAGCTGGATAAACGATATTGTCTTTGACTAATGGACGGTTTTGATATTCCTAGCATAATCAGTAATAGCCGCTAATCGTGCATTATTGGTGCATACTGCATACAATGTATCGTCCAGAATAGTTTCTTGAGAACTTATCATTCCCTTGGCTTCTTGTGACTTCACGGGTAGCGAGTTAGAAGAGGAGTGATGTTTATAGAAGTATTGAAAACTCACTTATATACTAGTAGTCTTGGCTCATCAAATGCAAACTTTGCAAGCAGAAATTTTTCATCGAAACTCGTCAATTTTCTATCGGATATAGGGGTAACACGTCGCGAGAAATCGATTTACGCCAACTCTAACGTGTGCAGCCCTCTCGTTGAGGTGCTAGAGGAGGTATTGTCGATTTTCTCGTGACGTG